AAACAAAACTAATAGTAATCAATGATAAACTAAAAAATAATAAATGTAATTAAAATTTGGTATTTTATTCTCTTATTTATATAACATTATTGTAAATTTATTTTTAATGTTTTCAATATAAATACTTACAGAATCGATATGAATATAATAGTAATGCTTTGGATCGTAAATATTCTTTAATAATCTATAGATTTGTCGAATCGATCGACCGTTTAGTGTCAGAAGAAATACTATTTTCACATCGTTTTGATTGACTGAATCGATATCCAAACTCGGCATCACTTTCGGTCGGTCTGTAGTTTTAAAACAAACAACACATCACTTTTATATATCAATTCAAATATTTATAAATCTAAATTAATATTACATTAAAAGTGCATAAAATCTCATTCATTAAAATTAGAAAATTGAAAANCTTTTATATATCAATTCAAATATTTATAAATCTAAATTAATATTACATTAAAAGTGCATAAAATCTCATTCATTAAAATTAGAAAATTGAAAAGTATTGTTAGAATAGATAAGAGAAGAGATGACAAGAAGAGTGTGAGAGCAGTATATTTAAGGCCACGATTTGTTTCGTTACGTATTGTGCTTACATTGAAGTCCAGTTTTGTAGACATCAATGGCATAATAGCCACCGCATGAGAGGTTGTGGTCACCCGAACACGACATATTGCAGTGATTGGCCAACAGTTGGTGCCGTCCGGCCGACAGTTCGTGACCGCAAAAGCATTCATTACTGAACTCTAAACCGGCGTAACTAAAGCCCGACTGAAGGCATACATTCAGACATTTAACGGGACTATTGTCTGTGAATTTGGTCCGATATCCCGTTAATAGTCGGGGCCTATCCTTATCCCAATAACAGCCCACATAATCACCAAAATTGCCGTCTTTTCAAATTGCAATTCAATTTTCAATAATCGCATTCAAATATAATAATTTTTACCATAAGTAGTAAAATAAAAGCAATAAAAATAATATAATTAATAAAAATAATTATAAATTTATATAAAAATTTTTTTATAAAACATTATAAATTAATTAATGCTCTGCTTTTGACGCTAACCTTTGAGCGGACAATAGCGGGGAAGTGATTGCGGGTAGAGTTGAGCGGTAAGTGTAAGGCATGTGATTTCAGCCAATTGTTGTTTGCATAGTTTGGTGACCGCTCTCTCGACCGCCGAAATGCCGTATTTACCGCTTTTGGCGCTTATATTGCAAGACGTTTGTGACTTAAACCCATTCAGGTCTTGAGGAAACTGATTGTCATTAATATAAAACACATATTAATTACATATAAAGTACATATTGAATGCATTTTTAAACAAACCTTTAAGTAGTCGTTTGGCGTAAAATCTCTTGACTTGGAGTCAATTGAATTGCTAAATGAGATATTGTTATCATAATCGCTGACTGATTGGTCCACTCTTTCCTGCAAATGAAAAAATAGTAATTTAAACACAAATCTCTTATAACTAATGACAAAGTGTTTTGAAAAACTTACACTAAATTGTTTATGTTTGGCAAATAAGATGAATTTAGTTTGTATTTGGGATTCAATGCTTGAATTGTTAGACGAGTAGAAAGTGATGCTTAATATTAATTGAATGATTAGTATTATTATAGACATCAATATATAGATCCAAAAGCGGCGGAAGAGTCGGCATTTGGTCACTGAATGTATGATATGTTT